CTTCCAGCCCAAACCATTCCATGGTTCTGTGGTTTTGGGGTGTCTCGGTGCCATCAGCTGCCAGGAGTGACACAGCCGTGCCCCATGAGTTGTGTCCTCACGCTGTCACTGTGCTCGGGGGTGGTGGCAGCCGAGATAACGTCGCTGTGCAACACGAGAGGAAGATCTGGTTGCTTTTAAGGGTGTTGCAATCCCGTTGCTGGATTCCTGGCCATGATAACATACCAGCAGAGATATAATTATGTCAGAGTGAAAAATACCCGAGCTTGAGGTATTCACTGAGCTCGAGCCATCACGGATCTGTGCTGATGGACTGTGGCCCTCAGCAGGAGTGTGGTCAAAGGTCTGATGTTATCAGTGTGTCGTGCAGCCCCTCTGCCTGGTCCTTTCTGTGCAGGAATGCTGTGCACACATCATCATCATCATCATCATCATCATCATCATCAGGCCGGGCTTCGAGAACGAGGATTTGGGAAGGGCTCTACCCACGTTTGTTACAAGCATGCTGGTGGCTAAAGAGGCCAATATGAGATAGACACGTCTGGTTACAAAAGGCACAGCAGAAGGACTCCTTAGGTGGTAAATTCTGCAAGGCATGATTCCTTCTGCATTGTCTTTTCTCCTCGAGGGTGACCCTGCGTGCGCTCTCAAAGGAAACAGCAGCGTTATAGATGGTGTGTCTGCAGAGCTCCCGGTTGGAGGCCAGAGTAGACCAGTTATGGTGGTCAATATGGCCAAGGAATGTGCAGGAATGCTGTGCACACACACACACACACACACACACACACACACACCCCATCCAGGGCTGCTCCAGCCCTGCTGCCAACGCTTCCGGCTCAGGGCGAATCCCCGAGTGACATGGGGGTGACTCACTCTGCCTTATCTTGTCCCACCAACACCAAGTGGGGGTGACTCACTCTGCCTTATCTTGTCCCACCAACACCAAACTCCACCGGAGCAGCACGCCCAGCTCCCTCTCCTCCAAATCCCAAAGCCTCCGGCTGGGAGCGCATTCCTGTCATTACTCCTGGCTTTGGGGCACTGCTTCTCTGCAGACACCGGGATTTCTGAGCCTGCAGGGCTGGGTGGTCTTCTGATTCCACATACCCTCTAAGCATCGTGCCTCCCGCTCCCTCTCTGCCTGCCTCTACCCTCTCCTCCCAGCCTTCTCCCCACTACCTGGTGCTGAGCCCTTTCCCTGTTCCCCGTGGGCTCCCTGGGAGCAGTCACTGCCAGGTATGTGGACCCTGGCACAGGTGCTCTTTGTGCTGAGGATTGGACAGTGCCCAGGTACTCTTTGTGCTGAGGATTGGACAGTGCCCAGCTTTTTACCTCCATTGTGGTGCTGTAATCCCTGTTGCTCCCTCCTCCCTCCATTCCACTCATTATTCTCATACTGAGCATCACCTTTCACTGCCATCCCAATCTTACCCTTCCTGCCCAGCCCTCTCTGGATGTGACATCACTGTGTGGTGCCACACAAATGAAACCTCCACCTCTTCCCGACACTGCAGGTCCGGTGAAGCTATTTGTGATTTCCTCTAAGGAGTGTATCTGGTCTGGTTTTCCCTTCCCTGCCCTCTCCTACTCCACCTGCATCACAAATCTTGGTCCCTGCAGTGCTGCCCTGGAGTCATCCACATCTCTGTGGACCTCTCTGTCTCAAAACTGTCCCTCTGCACGTCCCTCTCCAGTGCTCATCCATCTGCATCTCAGCACCTCTTGGTTTTGGTCCAGCTCCTCTGGCTTTGGGTATGTGCAGTGCTGGGCTCTGGGCTTCCAGCCCACACACAGATCCAGCTGGGCACCTGGGGGAGCCTCCAGGTCAAGCTCACCTGGCCAGAGGCAGCTGTCCTCACTGGGATGTGATCATTCCATCCCATCTCCCTCTCCTCTCCCTTCCCTTCTTCCCCCTCTTCCCCCTCCCTCCCTCCCTCTCCCTCCTCTCCTCCTCTTCTCTTTTTCCTTCCCCATCATCTCTGGACACCACAAAGCCTGTTTTTCCTCTCCCACCAGCTTGTGCTGGTCCCTGTCCTTCCTCAGCAACTGCAGGGCAGACTCTGCAGTGAGACACCGAGGCCTCCCTTGGGGGTGGGTAGAGGGTTAGTTATGAGTTATACAAGCTATAAATTTTGCTGGGAAAAGCAAAGCATCCCCGAGACTGGACACAGACCCACCAGAGCAGCAGGCCAAGGCCAGGCTGGCCCCTGCTGCTCCCTGGGGCTGTGCAGATCCCCTCCCCACACGGGCTCTCTCCGCAGGCTCCTGCGCGCCGCGATCCTGCCCCTCAAACGCTTCTGTGGCATCAAGCTGCAGGTGAGGGGCACAGAGCACCTCAACATCGAGGAGCCCTATGTGATAGTTTGCAACCACCAAGCTTCCCTTGACCTCGTGGGTACGTGCAAGGGAGAGGGGGGTGTGCCCATCACTGCATGGGCAGCCTTTGGGGTGCTGGGGGGGAGAGGGGGGGTCCAGGCTCGCTTTGGGGGGTCCCAGTGAGGTCACAAATCCCAGGATTTGTGCAGGGAAGTGTGGTGGGCTTAGCCCAGAAGAGCTGGTGGGACGGGGTGTGCTGCAGAGAGAGGGCTGGGACAACAGGAGATGATGCCAGGTCACCACAGCCATGGGGCTGGGTTGTTCTGGAAGCCATTGGACACGACTTAAAGTCCTTTAAATCAAGTTTTAAAAAAAATCCAACCTGGTGCTATATTAGGGTGTAAATGACTAAATAATGTCTGTCCACTGATCTAATTTGTCCCCTCTGGAGGGTTCCTCTCTGCAGTAATCACCCCTGTGCTGGTTTAAAGGTAAACCAGCAGGGGAAATGAACTCAACTCAAAAGAGAGATTATAAGTCAGAATAACAATTTAATAAAATAACACAATAAGTACAATTATACAGACAAACAATTGGTTTTAACCCACAAACCCCAAATATAAAACCCAGCACCCTGGGGCATGAACAGAGTGGTGTTCTTTGGGCCCCTGAGTCCAAAGGAAAAGGTGAGGGGAAAACCTGTTGGTGAGAGTGCTGGTGCAGTCTGGTGCACCAGAGTGGTGATTGCAGTCTGGTTGAAAGCAGTGAGCTGCAGTCTTCCTCTGGATCCCATGAGTGGTAAAAAAGGTTCCAAAACTCCAAGTTTATATATTCTCCAGTTCAGGTAGGAATGCTCAGTCCTTCCCTCAGAGCAAGGAATTCCATAAAAGGGTGTGAGGACAGGAGCATCTTCCTATCTCACAGGCCTCTGAACACCCAGTTTATAGCCTGAGGAGTCGGGCTGCTCTGGGCAGAGGGTGTAAATGCTCTATTGACAACAGTTTCTGGGAAATGGCATGGAAGGCTATAGAATACACAGTTTTGGGTTACACCCATATCATGGTGAACTGGTCTCAGCTGTCCTAACTAGGACAACCCCTCAGGGATGGGGTGGCTGCACTGCAAAATACGTTCCTGGTATTCAGCTGCTTTGTCCAACCTGGGAGTTAAATTTCCAAGCAGTGAAGGATTTTCCAAGCTGATTCTTCTGCCTCAGATAATCCGGGGTTGGGGAGGTATTTTAAGAGCTCTGCCATCCCTCCTCCAGGCATGGCAGAGGTCATTCCTGAGCGCTGCGTGCCCATTGCCAAGAAGGAGCTGCTGTACATGGGCACTGTGGGCTGGGCCTGTTGGCTCAGTGGCATCATCTTCATCGACCGCCACAGACGAGACGCTGCCATTGATGTCATCTCCCAGACAGCCCGGACCATGTGGCGTGAAAACGTGAGGGGGGCTGGCAGGAGGGGGGCCTGGGGGGGGAAACACCCCTGGGGTTAAAGGGGGTGAGTGGAGGACTGAGGTAGGAGGTCCCAGGGGCCCTGGCTGTGGTCCAGTCTCGTGTCTCTCCCTGTCCTGTGCAGCTCCGAGTGTGGGTTTTCCCCGAAGGCACCAGGAACCAGAACAAATCCATGCTGCCCTTCAAGCGTGGGGCTTTCCACCTGGCTGTGCAGGCTCAGGTGAGGGAATGTCCTTATGTTCAGTCAAGGGTTGGACTCAATGGTCTTGGAGGTCTTTTCCAACCTAAATGATTCCATGATCCGCCCCTTCTGCTCGCCCTGGATGGAGCGGGGTGGGGGTGCACTCTGGGACAGTGGGATGGAAGTCTTTTTGGTCCCCTGGGACAGACACTGCTGTGCAGGACCCAGGGTGGGACAGGGACCTGCTGAGGCCTGGGGCACCGCAGGAGCTGGAGTCCCACCTGGGGAGGGGGTCTGTATGAAAGGCACCCCTGACCCTCTGTGTCCTGTAGGTTCCCATCTTCCCCATTGTAATCTCCCCGTACTGGGACTTCTTCAGCTCCAAGGAGAAGAGGTTCACCTCTGGTAAGTGATGGACAAGAATTCCCGTGCCAGAAGGCAGGGCTGGCAGTGGCGAGGAGGCACAGGGGGGTCTCTCTGTGGGACACTGAGGTGTGGGGAGGCAGCTGATGGTGAAGGTGGTTCCTGGTGATTCCTTTAACAGCATTCCTGGCCTTTCCCTTCTCTCCCAGGCACATGCACCATCCGAATCCTGCCCAAGGTGGAAACACGGGGCCTGAGCCCCGAGGATGTCCCCGAGCTGACCGAGGCTGTGCGCGGGGCCATGGCCGATGCCCTGGCTCAGATGTCTGGGAACCCCCAGGGCGGGGGCACGGGCAGCCCCCAGGGCCAGGAGGACCCAACTGGGACCACTTATTAGGCAGAGGGAGCGAGTCCCTCGGGGACACAAGGGAGGTGGCACAGCCAGAGGCTGGGCCATGCTGTCCCCTTGTCCCCTGAGGATGTGTCCACCAGCCCTGCCACCGCCCCGGCAGGACGGTGCCCTGGTGCAAGGGGAGCAGAGCAGTGCAGGACAGGGACCAGGCAGCTCCCCCAAAACAGAGCGAGGTGACCCCGAAACCCCTGGTTATGGCTGTGCATCCCCCGTGTCCCCCACACCTGGAGCTGTGTCTGTCCCCTGGGATGGCTCCTGCCTGCACCCTGGGCAGGGGGGGGTGCTCCAGGCAGGGCTGGGGGGTCACAGCACCATTTTCCACCCCTGACTTCCCCCAAGGGCGTGCTGGGTTCTTCTTCCAGGCACTCCTAAAATGCTGTTGGGATACAGCCAGCTCTGGGGAGGAGTCCAGAGTGCAGCATGTGGCCTGGGGGGACACGAGGTCCAGGGGATGTTGCCATGTGGGAAGAGCATCCTCGACGCTGAGTTGTGAGCCAAGGCTGCAAGATTAAACAGGCTGTAGCTGGTGCTGGGTGTGCTCGTGTCCTGCCTGCGTCTGAGGAGCTGGGGGGAGCATGGGGAGGGGGAATCCTTCTCCTTAGGACCGTGCTGGGGGCCTGCATCCGTGCACATGGAGCATCCCTGTGGACACCACAGCGTATCCCCGGGGTGTGGTGCTGGATGGTGTGAGGAGCACAGGGCAGGGGGAGAGTGACACTGATCTGACCCAGAGGTAGAGCTCTCCCTGCCTTAGTAAGTGCACAGGAAGAGCATCTATTAAAACCCCAAATACCCAGAGGATCCTGGATTGTGCCCACCTGGATCAGGAGGCTTCAAGATGTCTCCCCATGGCTTCCAGACCGTGGCATAGCCAGGCCCATCCACCAGCTGCCAACTTCCCTGGCTGTTCCTCGCAGTCAGGCAGGGATTTGGACATCATTTGGCTCCTTCCCAGCTGAGCAGCTCCTGTCCCAGCCACCCCAGGGTTGCAGCAGGGCTGGGACAACTGCAGGGGGGGGCTGTCCCCTGTGCTGGGAGCAGGGTGGGCAAGGCTTCACCTCCCATCTTCAGCTAAAACCTGCAAGCCACGGGCAAGCGAGGGCACAGCACTGTGGATTGGCACCATTCCTGCTCTTGGGAGCAGCTGGCTCATTATGGAGGAAATCCTGCAAATCTGTGGCAATTGTCTGCCCAGACAGATACCAAAACATCAGCAGCAGGAGAGAGGCTTCCCACGAGCAACAACTCACCAGACCAGGAACTGTCACAGGGAGATGGTCAAGGGCAGTGTGCACATGAAGCATCCCATGTCCTAGAAAACCCCTTTAATCCCTTCCTTCCTGCCAGGGGTCCCAGTGTGCAGCTCAGTCTGTCGGGTCTGAACTGACTTGGTGGTCCCACCACTTTCTCACCACCTTGGGTGTGGTTTGGCTGCTCAGAACCTTGAGCCCAGCAAAGGTTGGGTTTAGGGGTTATGCATTAATAGGAACACAGACAGGTTGGGGTTGGAAGGGACCTCCAAGCCCATCCAGTCCCATCCCCTGCCACAGGCAGGGACACCTTCCACCAGCCCAGGTTGCTCCAAGCTCCATCCAACTTGGCCCTGGACACTTCCAGGGATCCAGGGGCAGCCACAGCTTCTCTGGGCAAAGCATTGTCCAAGCTGGACAGCCAGGTCCCAGGCAGAGACCTTGCTGGCTTTTCCACTGTCAGGGGAAGGTGAAAGCTTGGGGAGAGAAAGACACTTCAGCACAGGGACTCTGGGAGCACCTTGCTTCCCCTGGCCCTCCAGACATGGGGTCTGCAGTGACCCTGCCCTGCTGCTTGGTCGTCCAGCCCTGGCACAGCTGCCAAGGGCAGTGGTGGAGTCCCCATCCCTGGAGGGATTTGGAAGCTGTGTGGATGTGGCATTTGGGTCAGTGGTGGCCTCAGCAGTGCTGGAGGAGCCACGAGCTCCTGGTCACGTTGAACCACCCCTGGGATGCCTGTCAGGGCACTGACCCACGGCCACATCCTGGGGAGGGGTCAGGGTGGACCTGGGGCCGTGCTCCCAACTCCTGCCCTTGGGGGTGGCAGGTCCAGCCTCCTCCAGACACCAACACTGTGTGGGGCTGCTCCAAAGGGCAGGGGGGTGGGCACAGGGCTGTATCCAGCCATACCTGAGCAGGGCAGGCATGGGGACAGCAGTCATGGTCATCTGAGATCCCATGGAAAGAGGTCAGCCCCCTCCATGGCTTCCTGTGGAGTGATGGCACGTTTTGTCCAGAGAAGCTGTGGCTGCCCCATCCTTGGAAGTGTCCAAGGCCATGGTGGACAAGGCTTGGAGNACTGCCTCTGCCCACATCCCCAAAAGGAAGGGAACTGCAAAGCAGGGAGGAAACCCTGCAGAGCAGGGGATGTGCTCTGAACACCACGTGGCTGTTGTGGAGCTGCCTCAACTTTCTGGAATTCCCACCAGGACAGAAGGAGGGAGCTCAGCCTCTGCCCTGGCTGGTGTCCAGCTCCCAAGAGTGGTGCAAAGAGGAACGAGAGCAGCCAGAGTCAGCACCACAACACAACACTGTCCTGTTCCTCTACCCAGATTTGATGAAACCAGAGGAAACGGGACAAAAATCCAGCCTCAGATGTGTGATCAGCCCAAACAGCTACTGTTTGGTTAAGTTTGAAACACCTGTAAACTTGCCCTTTCTGAGGAATCACCACAAACTCATACAATACAATACACAAACTCATATAATACAATGTCATCATGATGTGCTGCCTATTTTTGTTCCATTTGTTCCCACTCCACCCTGGCACCATTTCCCAGCACAGCAGTGTTCAGGTGAGTCCTGCCCCCGGGGTTTGAACCTCTGCAGGTTGTAGGAACCTTTCCCAATACTGCAAAAATCCAGCAGAGCCTTGAACCCAGGAAGCTGTGGGTAAACGTGGCCTGAGCTGTATCTGCAGGTGCCTGTGGATCCCTCTGCCAGTCCTTGTTTGCTCACTGGATGGGAAGCAAAGATCCCATTTCAGGGCCTGCAGAGGGACAGACGCAGGTCCAGAGCGATGCAAGCCCTGCAGGAGGAGGCTGTGGCCGTCCTAGACATCCACTTCAGCTGGAGACATGAGGTCTCCAGCCCTGCCCATCCTCTCCCTCATCCTGCCCCTCATGGCTGGGGCACCTGCAGCCCCCTCTGTGGCTGTCTGTCTGTCTGTCTGTGCCTGCTGGCATGGCTTTAGCCTCAGCTCCTTGGGAATTCCTGGAGGGAGCTGCTCCCTTGTTGGGGGTCGTTGGCCAGGGTGGGGACGCTCAGGCTGCTGGGCTGTCCCTGCCCATGAGCATCAAGGACGTGGCACTGGGGGCTGCTGGGCTGGTGGCCCTGGGGTGGTTGTTGCAGGTGCCCTTTGCTTTGAGCTGGGAAGCCAAGGGGAGCCCAGGGGCAGCGTGGGGAGGCTGGGGGAGGTGGTGCTGCACCCCAGCACAGGTTCCTGTGTGTCCAGGGGCTCTTTGAGGTCTCCATGGGGTCTGTGCTGGGTTCTGTCTCACCCCCACACCCCTCTTGTCATCACTTCTCCTTGCCAGGAGGTGTGTGGTCACAGCCCCAGCTGTGATGTACCACCCCAGCCCAGCCATGCTCTGGGGCCAGGTGACCATCAAGCAGCTGGGAGTGCACAGAACCCACCCCATCACCTGCTGAAGAGGGAGGTCCAGCAGCCTCAGATGCAAGTGAACTTCACCTTCACTGTGAGTGTCACCCCAAAACAGCCCTGAGCAGGGAGGGGATGTCCTGGGGACATCCTGGGCTCCTCGGTGCCTCCAGGCAGAGCAGTTTGCACCAGCTGCCCTGAGCTGGGGCTGTGACCCAGGGAGCAGATGTGACTTCCCCATTTTTTAGCAGAGTCTCATCCCTCATGCAGACAGAACTACTCCAGGCTCAGCCCAGTTATCCAGTGGCTAAAATAATCCCCTGGTAGGAGACCTGCAGACCAGAGCAGGGTGTTGGGGGGACATTTTTTCCCAGCCCCTGGCTCAGGGAAGGTGTCCCTGTGGGTGAGGAGAGCTCAGGGTCACCCAGAGTGAGCAGAGCACCCTGGCCATGGCTCATCCTCACCTGCAGCCTGATGTTTCCCCCTGCAGGCTCCAGAACCCATCAGTGGGAAGGAGGAAAACCTAGACCTGCACATCTCAATCCAAGGAGATTCCCTGAAGGTGTCTGAGAAGAAGGAGGTGAAGCTGAAAACACTGGACCCTGGGATCTTCATATAGACAGATAAACCTGTCTACAAGCCTGGCCAGTGAGGTGATGGGGGCAAGATGCACCACCCTGCTCTGGGCTGAAGGACCTGGTGGGAGAGGGCTGCAGGAGGCCCAGCCTTGCTCCTACACTGCGTGGGAATAGGAGGGCTCATCCTGGGATGCACTGGAATGCCCAGCACTGACAGAGGGCAGTGCCAGGACACCCTGGCAGTGCTGCTTGAGGGGCACTGCAGGGCTTGGGGGGGATTTCCATCCTCCCTGAGGATGAACTCACTCCTCCATCTCTGTTTCCCTTTTCCAGTGAAGTTTCGAGTTGTCTCTTTGGATGAAGCCTTGATTCCCATCAATCAGCAGGTGGGAGGAGGGTTGGGGTGGGAGGAGGTGACAGGGCTCTTCTGCACTGCCCTCCTACAGCCCCAGCCAGCCATGGGAGAGCTGTGGGAGGCAGCCAGTGCCTTTCCCCTTGGGAATCCTGCCCCAGCCTGCTCTGCCCGGTAGCTGCCCTCCCTGGGGGCAGGGATGCCCTGTGCTGTTCAGGCTGCAGCAGGATAAGGAAAGAGAAAGCAGGATTGCACGTGTGGCACGGGAACGGACCCAGGCGAGCTTTGAGATAGGCAGGTAGGGATGGGAGTGGGAAGCAGGGAATGTGCTGCTGATATCCATCAGATCAGACACCAGTATTACAGGTGGGCTCAGTTTCTGGCACCTCTGAGCAATCACTGGGGTCTCTGGAAGTGGAGGAGGT